TAGTGAGTGTTTAAGTTTGCTATTGTTGGTAGATTATTTAGTATAATTTTGTTTCTAAGAGAATAGAATTTGTAGTTATCATTTTGTGAATTGATTATATTGGTAAGTTGTAGAATGTTGAAGAGTTGGAGATTGTGAAATATTTTGAGTTGTATAAGCTTGTTGAAGGTTTGAATTGAGAGAATATTTGTACAGAATTTGCATATTTTAATTGGTAGGAGAATTTGGTTCCATGTGAAGGAAAGAGGTAGGTGTAGGGTTGGGCATTTTATGTAAGTTATTAAAATTTAATGTAAGTTACATTTTAGTTTATGTAAGTTACTATGTAAGTTAAGGTAAGTTATAAATTATAAATTTTTTTTTTAATTTTAAAAAACTTTTATTAATCTATTTATTTTTATTTTATTTGTATTAATTTATTACATTAAATATAAAAAATTTTTGTTAATTTAAGTATTTAAAATAATTATTAAATTTTAAGTATTTATTCTTTAATTAAATTTTTTATTTGTATTAATTTAATATATTATATAAAAATAATATTTATGATTAAACATTTGATAAGCTATTGAATTTATAAATATATACTTAATTTTTTTGCTTAATTTATAAGCATAATGGTTAGTTACAGTATATTCAAATTTAAGAGTTATACAAATAAAAAAATAGTTTATTTAATAGATTATTAGACTCTGAAAATTTTATTTAATCATAATGCTGTAAATTGACAAAAAAATGTCATAAACTTTATAATAAAAAAGGATGAAACTCACACTGTAAATTAGTAAAACCTGCTATGTAGATCATGTTAGAGTGAAATCTGCATTTAGCTATGTTTTTATTATGCAAAAATGAATTTCGCCCTTATATGATCTGCATAACAGATTTTACTAATTTACAATGCAGGTTTCATCCTGTCATTTTATAATTATAGAACAAGCGAAGATGGTGATGCTACTGACACACCTGTAGCATTACTTGTGCTAATTTTGGTCAAATTCTTCATTATGTAACAATTTACTAATAATTATGTACCAATGCATGCTTTACTTTAACGTGAATAGAATAATTAATAAAAACAAAATCAACAAATGTAGTAATACGTAGAAACTAATCCCGCAATAATATCTTGTATATGTCTTAATTATAGATACTATAAGAAACAGGCTGATATACAGGAAAATGCAGTTTTAACTCTACATTAACTATATTTAGAAGTGAAATTGAACATCAAAACATAAATATTTTAAAGTAATAATCATTTAACAATATTATGTTTGTTGGTTACATTTTTAATTTAGGTCGGACGGACGATAAGTAATTTTATAATATTAGGATTTCAACTTAAAAACTTGCTTTTTGAATTCCGTGACTAAAATGAATGTAATTGACGATGCCTTGATTGATGATCATACACTCAAAATCAGATTGAATGCAGATATGTATTTGCTCATAATCAAACAAAATTTACACCAAATCAGGAATGAATCGAATGTGGTTTTAAAATGATGACATGAGCAATTGGATATGAGAAATTAGTGGGAAAATCTAGTAAAAAGAGTGAAACAGTTAGTAAAATATATACTAGAAATATAAATGTATAAAAAAGATACAAAAATATAATATTCTACTTATCTTTTATAATGCTCAAGAAGAACTAAAGACCCTAATAAAGAAACTATCACTAAATAAATAAAGTTGTTTGTTTGTATTAGTGTCAGTTTTGTATTTAGTATTAACTTAGTATTAATAATAAATTGTAAAGCAGTAAATAAAAATACACTTGCTAAATAGTAACACCTTAAGTGCGTAGCATAATCTTTAGTATCTGATCAATATATAGCGTAATTAAACTAAAATCAGATAAAACATGCATATATAATCATCTCAAACAATTCAGACAATACGTAGAGTAACTAACATATGTAACCAAATTAGAAAAGAATTATGTTCATGATGTCAATGTTTCAAAATAGCAAGATTAAAGTAACTAGTCATCAGGTTTATATTTGAGAAAAAAAAAATTATTGTTAGTAATACAGTAACTTCTAGAAAATAAGAATAAAAAAGGAAAACTTATCTAATAAAAGCTCAGAAACAATTAATAGTAAGAATTAGAAAGAATAAAAGCCTTTTTTTAAGTAATCCAAGTATAAATAAAAAGTATATTTGTCCAAATCAAGATTTATACATTTGCAGAGTATGCCTAGATTTGCTGTTTTAAATTATTTCCTACACTATTCTCGCTAATCATGCCTCGTAATAAAGGTGCATATAATGATTCATTCGACATATTCAAAGATTCTAAAGGAAAAGAAAGATACAAATGTCGTAAGTGTGGAAAAGATTGGGCCAAAAATGAAACAAGACTACAAGAGCATTATAATTCTTGTATTTTGACAGAAAATATAGAAAATAGAATTTCTTCTGGATTTAAACGTCAATATCAAGCCACGGTAGATAATTTTGTATATAAATTATCTAAAGCTGATCAAAAAAATTTAGAAAGTCTATTTGCGCGTACTTTTTATTTGTCGGGAGCTTCCTTTAATATTTTAGAAAATGAGGATTAGCAAATTTTTTTCTCAAAAGCTTGTCCATCATTTAAACTTCCCTCATGAAAATCACTTTCTAATACATTACTTAATCAAGAATACGGTGATATTAATATTGTAGTTCAATACTTATTTAATCAAATGCAGTATTTTTCACTTATTACTGATGGTTGGTCTAATATTAATAATGACTCTATTATTAATTATATGGTAACAACACCAAAACCTATTTTTTACAAATCAATTACTACAAAAGAAGAGCAACACACGGCTAATAACATAGTATTAAATATTGAAACAATTATGTTAGAAGTAGGAATTAATAAATTTGTTGCCATAATTACCGATAACGCTCTTAATATGAAAGCAGCGTGGAGAATTCTTAAGGATAAATATCTAACAAAAATCTTTTTAGGATGCTAGGCCCACGCAATTAATTTGTGGATTAAAGATATTTTGAAAATTAAATGGGCAAAAACTATTTTAGAAAAATGTAAAGGAATTGTATCATATTTTAAATCGTATCAAACTATTTTAGCTACTCTTCGACGTCTTCAAATAGAAAAATATGGACAACAAATTGCATTAGTTTCAATAATTGAAACATGATGGGGTTCCGCCTTTGAATGTATGGATCATCTTTTATGAACAAAACTGGTGATAAAATCTATTTTAGCTAAAGATAATCTAAGAATCGATAGTCATATTCAAATTTTAATTATTAATGACAGTTTTTGGAAAGATCTTAAATATCTTTGTGACTTATTAAAGCCATTTTTAATGTTTATTCACCTTTTAGAGCAAGATAATCCTTTACTTTCAGTAGTGTATATTAAGTTACTTGATATAAAAGCAGGTATACATAAGAATCAGCAAGTTTCTAAAACTTTTTGTGAGGAAGTTTTGCAGTTAGAGCACAAACGATGGATTGATTTTTTGTTTAATCCAGCAATTTTAGTTGCATATAAATTAGATCTACGGTATCGAGGTGAAAAACTTAATTCACAAAAATAGGATCATATTATAGAAGAAGAAATTATACGGCTAGCTGGATTAGAAAACGAAGATAAGGCTTTATCAGAATTCGCAGAATATATTGGTAAAACAGGTGAATTTGCAAGGCCTCATTTATGAGGTGCTGTAAAAGAAAACCCTCAAAATTGGCGGAATTTAGTAAAAGCCAAATATCCGATTCTTTGTTCTGTTGCTTTTAAAGTTCTTTCTATTCCGGCAACCTCTACTGCAAGTGAAAGAAACTAGTCATCATTTGGCTTTATTCACTCAAAACTGCGTAATAGATTAACTAATGAGCGGGTAGAAAAAATTGTTTTTATTTATTAGAATCTTCGAATATTGCGAAGTTTAGATTGGCCATTATCAGTAAGTGATTTAAAAAAAACTGGTGCTATTATCGAGAAAGAAATTAGTGACAATATGATAGATAATGAAGTCAATACTAGTGAAAATTTGATATTCGAAGATGGAGAATGGATGTTGAATGAAAATATGTCTTTTGAATATAATGAAGAGAATTTTGAAGAAGATGTTGAAGATTTTAAAAAATACTCAGAAAAGAGTTTTGAGAAAAATTTTGAAGAACAATTCAACGAAAAATATCATGAAGATTATGAAAATTCCGAGACATATTCTGAGGAGGATTTTGAAGAGTATTACGAAAGCAATTTTACAACCAACTTGGAAGATGATTATTAAGGTTTGTATTGCTATTAGTTTATTGTCGAATTTGTTATTACTACATTGAAAGCTTAACTAACTAATTAGCTTTTAGGTTATTGAAATTTTATAAATTATAATAAGTTTTTATGCAGTCAATTATTACAATCTTCAAGGTCGCAAAAATTTTTTTTAAAAAATTTACCTTAATATATATGATGCACTTATAGTGCTTTATTGAGTATGTATATATGATAATCATTTTACTTATTATTTACATTTTTTAAGGAATTTTAAGGTTAATCGAAGACCCTTATTTAGAAAGATCGTGAATTTAAAAAAGTTTATTATTTTATAGTTGCTATCTTATAACTATGTATTATTTTATTGTTATTATCTTTATATTCTTATCTTATGGTTATATATCATACATTTTATTATATCTAAAAATAACAAGTGCAATCATGTATTAAAAGAATTAAAGTGATTTGTGATTATGAAAGAGGTGACTGCTAAATGTTTATGAAGATACAAGAATTATCATAATACGAGTTTATTCTTTATTAAATCATTATTGTTATACTTGAGATAGCTGCTGATTTGGGAGAACCTTAGGGCTATTATACATTACAATTAGTTATGATCGTTGACTATTACTTTTACCAGGCTATATTATATCTATTCGATCGAATAATTATATGCGATATGATTGATCTAATATATGTAATAATGATAAATGCTATGTATAACAAATATATAATATACTATCTAACAAAAATGTTAGTTATATGTATTTTGAGTACGTAGTCTTGAGTTTACTTATTTCCCTCACCACTTCCGATTGGCTGTACTAATTATTCAATTGTCGGGTTATTTATATTATTTATTAATCAAAAAAAAAATTTTATGTAAAAATTTGCGCTGTTGATATTTTGCCCTTAGATTATGTTTAGAAGATTAAAATTTTACAAGGAAATTTTTTTATTAGTGCGCAGAAGATAGTTTCATAGATCGATTTAGAGTTATAAGCGATTTAATATTTTTTATATTTTCTTTGCATTTCTTTTACGTTACATCCAATCGTGAAACTTGATTGGCACTGAGAAGTGAATTATTAGTACGGCCAATCAAAAGTAGTGGGAAAAATAAGTGCTCCCCGTAGTCTTAACATTCGTGACGCAAAAATCATTATTAAATCAAAATTTATAATTTAAATATATCATTTTGTTTAATAACTTTAAAATTTTTTATTTTAAACTTGATTTTTATTAGCCAATCAGAATAAAAGTTTATTATGCTATATAATGGTTTTATAATTTAGACTAATTTTAGTATATACTATATATTTGTAACTTACATCAGGAACATGTAAGTTATAATGTAAGTTACAATGTAAGTTACATTGTCAGGTAAGTTATCCCAACCCTAAATAAGCATATTCCAAACTTACTATTTTAAGTACGATCTTGTAAGAGGTTTAGTTTAAACAAATAAAGTTGTTGTTAAAATTAAGTATACTTTATATAAAATCTAAAGTTAATACTTTCATTGTGAGAAAAAGGCATATCATAATTTTGTATATTTTTTGGCTAATTAGACAATATATTATCATATTAAATCTGAATATAATATTAAATCCAGTTATCGTAACTAAATTTGGATATAATTATTAAATTCAGATTTAATCATTAGATTTAGATTTAATAATTATATTCAAATTTAAATAGTTATATCTAAATTCAGGTATTAACTCTAGTTCAAGGTTAGTTATATACTGTATTACATAAATCATTTTAGTTTAATAAAATTGTAGCTATACATTTGGTAATACAAATAAAAATCATTAACTTGATAGTTACATAATTTATGATTATTTATTTTTTTTTTTTAAAATAATGATTGATTTTTATTTCATAATAAATCATATATACATTTTTTATTTTTATTTTATTTTAAAGATTCTTATTAACTTTGAAATAAGTTTAAAAATATTTGAGTTGCTTCTGTTTTTTCATGATTTTTTATATTTTCTATAGGATTTATTTGTGACTAGTTCTTACATTTATTTTGAATATCTGAAAGACTCAGAACAATATTTTTTTTACTTATATTTCTAGATGAAAGTTGTAATTTCAATTGTTTCAAGTCAAGTATCATATTTGGATGAGTCTTTAAATCTAGTTTATTAAAGAGCCTTTCTACTTGTTGTTAATAGATTATAATAGCTTTTTAACAAATTTATACAATAGTAAATATTTATAAATTTTAGAGTTTGGAATGAAACAAAATTTATAAAACTTATCTCTGAATTCAAAACAATCTAATAATTCATCTCAAAGGCCAAATATATTATCAGATATTTCAAAATCTTTATATAATTGTTTTACTAATTCAATTTCATGTTTTGTTAGCTCAATAAGCTATAGAAATTCTAAAACAACATAGTAAAATACTTTTGCAAACTCATGATTAGAATTTCTATTCAAACAGCAAATTGATAATAGTAAATATATTTACAGAGAAATTTATTTTACAAAATATTTATATACTTTATTTATATCTCATTCTAAATTATCAAAAAGCTTACTAAATTTATCTCTATTTAGGGTTTCTAGTGCTATAAACAATTCATCTCCAAAAAATATATCAAAGTTTTCTTTAAAATCATACAAAAAACTAATCTATTCATTAGCCTTATCAAGCATTTCATAAGCCTGTCACTCAGATGGAAGTTAAACAAAATGATTATCTAATTTGATATGAGGTATTAGGTTCTTTCTAACTATAAATTGTATTAGTAGTTCATAGAAATACTTACTGAACATAACTAAATACTGAATTTGAATATTTAATTTTTTATTTAGGAGCTATTCTTTAAACAATCATTAATTAAAAAAATATGATACTGGTGTACTTGAATTATTTTTGAGTATTTTAACAAACCAATTTATGAATTCTAAATATGCTATATACTATTCCAAATATTGTTTAGCAATACATAATTCATAGCCTTACTGTTCTCTAATTAGTAATTGATATTGTGAGAAATAAAATTCTAATAGCTTGTTATATAGTTTTTAAATATATTCTGACTTTATATTAAAAGGCTTGTCTTTGTTACTCAAATTATGCCTATCATATAGAAGCTATACTAGATATAATAAATTAAAAGGTTGTAGATTTTTTGAAAATCTAATTAACAAAGATAATTTTCTAAATATTTTTTTAAAATATATAAAAACAATATGCATAATATGCATATTGCAACTAATTTGTATTGCATTTATATTTATTTTTTTATTAAATTGAACTACTATACCTTTCTAATTACTAGATATATAGATCAAATTATTTGTTATTTAAGTTTGAAATTTTTTTAAATCAAGTCTATAGTTTATAATAATAGTAATAACATTGTCTGCAATAGATTGGCCAGTACATTTTTGTAAATATTCTAGATTATTTATAGCAACTAATAGTATATTATTTTTATAGTCCTAAAACATAATGTATATAATGAAATTTTTAACTTTACTTCAAGTTAATTCATCAACAAGGATACTGAATTGTGAATATTAGATAACTTAATTTATTATGAATTCAGTTTTAATTTGTGAGACTTCTTTATACCAAGTACTTAATGTAGATACTGATAACCACTTTTGTGAAGATTTATTTACTAAAAATTTATAAACAAGTTGCAATAATTCTATAGCAGTATTTAATAAGGTTCGTCAAATTTGTAAAATTTTTATAGAAAGCCAAATTATTTTGGAAGAATATTTATTATTATTTGTTTTAAATAATATATTTATTTGACTCTTGAATTCTTTGTGAGATATTTGTTTTTATTTACATACTAATGATCTTATAGTTAAAACTCTCTTTTTTACTTTATTTTCAAGATGCTAATTTAAACTATTTATAAATCAAACCTTATGTAATAAATTCTGATTATTTTTTAATAGTTTTTAGTTTACTGATTTTAGATTTGCATTCTTAGTTTTAAAAAATTTAATACAACTTTTATGATTACTAGTATTTGTAATATATTCAAAAGCTTTCTTTTTGAGATAAGCTAAAATAATTTCATCTTTATATTTTTCTTTTAGATTTTGTATTAATTCAATAAGATTTAATGCATTCTTTCTTTGCATTTCAGATATTTTATATATAGTTTGAAATATTTTCTCCTCTTTTGTATAATTTAAAGTATTAGAGAAGATATAATTAATTTGTAAAAGAAATTCAAAGTCAAATTGAAGTATGATTTTATTAATTTTTTGAATTTTATTCTATTAGAAGCACATGTACATCATATGGCAATTTTGCTTTGATGATTAGACATGTTAGATAACTCAAAAATGATCAATTTACAATTCTGTAAATCTAAAAAGAAAAATTATTTTTTTTATATAGATTATAAAAAAAAATAATCGATACTACAATTTGTAATTTAAAAGAAACTAGCATTTATATAATTTTTAACAAGTCTTAACTTTATAGGATATCTTTTAATTATATTTCTGTTATTTATAATACTTATTTTTATAATTTTTTTAGCTAATTTTGTTGCTAGACTTAGCCAATTGCCTCTTTATTTGCTAGTAATAATTAAAAGTTATGCAATTAATATTTGTATAAACAGTTGGTAAGATACAATACTACAAGATAATTTATTAACTAATTAGCTAGTCTTTAATATATTTAAACCTATAATAATTAACTACTAAATAATAGATAAATTCTCGAACAAAATAACAACAGAGATAATAATTAAATTTGACTAATAATTGTAGCTTAACAATCGATCAGTGCTTTTGTTTATTTATTTAAACTGACTATAATAATTAAGAATTAGATTATTAAGAAGACAATAAGCATATTACTTGAAATAGTAACAAAAGCAATAACTAAATTCAATTAATAATTTTTGGCTGATTTACAAATTTTATCAATCGAGCTAAAAATTATTGATTGAATTCAATTATTGTCTCTTTTACTATTTTGAGTAATATATTTATGATTTTCTTAATTAT